GGATGATGAAGTAGTCATCATCCACTCCACCGGCTCAGCAGGCGAGCCGAAAGTCCTCGAGCCATACACCGGGGTTTGTCTCCCCAGTGTACTTGGTGATGTTGGTGGGTGGTCGGAAACGCTGTGGAAACGACGCTTTCTGGATGCGGCGACCAAAGGCCTATGGCCCTAGGCCATTAGGGCTAGGGCTCCGATCGTTCAGTCGACCGCCAAGCCTAGCGTGCGTGTCCTCGTACTCCTCGGTGGTCTAGCTGGGGCCCGCGCCGCCCGCTCTTGCCGCCATTCGATGGACGTCATCATCGTGCTGAGTATGGCACCGATTGTTGATGACTCTATGAGCGTCATGGTTCAGCCTAAGCCGCTCGCGCACAGGTGGTCGGTGTGGAGCGGGCACCAGGTCAGGCTACGGTGCAGCCGCGGCTTCCTACTCCACGCCCAGCAACTGCTGCAGTGAGTGGACAGAGTAATTTGACTGTGCGGCCCAGTGCCCCGATTGGGTAAGAGGCCACGAGCCGATGTCATGACGCGGAGCTCTCTGCCTGCTGAACGGCGGCGGTCTCCACCAGCGTCCAGAGGTTCCGGTGGATCGCCTGCTCCTGGGGGTCGTCAGGCTCAGGGAGGCCACGCAGAAGCATCACCACAGCAGCGATGTTCTGGCCAGCCCAAGCAAACTGAGAGGGGTCGTCCCCTCCGTCTAGTATGTTATGCTGGACCTAATGGGCACGACCCCGAGAGCTGCTCATCGGGTTACGCGCATGTGGCACAGCGTGATGCGCTGGGCGCACCGGCGTAGGTGGCGGCTGGCTCTGTCGCCTTTGTCGTAACTCCTCGTCGTGCTCTTGCGCACGCGCCAGGACCTACGCACGGGGGTCCGGAGGGGTGTGAGTCTATAGAGACTCCACTACCTCTAGTAGCTATCCTGGGGCATCTGCCATAGCGCACTCCCAGGACAGAGGGTGGCTAGGTTTCATGATGTCTCCGATGCTGGAGCAGTCGCTTTTGACCTCGTCATCGATGAGGTCATGGAAGGAGGGGGGCTTAGCCCGCCATCCCCACAAACTGGGACGTGAGAGGGGGCGGCATTAGCATCCTTCGGAGCCCCTGTGCGCATGTGTCCACGGGGGACGTGAAGCCGTAGGGGAACCAGTCACATGGCGGTTGTGGTGGGGACAACGGGGTCCCTCCGGAGTGCTAGCGGAAGGTGTTAAATAGTGAGTAAAGAATAATATGTACATCACTCACCGTGGGGTTTGAGCCTAGCATGGGCTCGAGGCGAAGCACGGGTGTCTCGACGTTGAGATTGTTGAGTGGCCCAGGGCCGGTGGAGGGCGCTCCTCCTCCAGTGGGCGCTGGGACAAGTGCCTCCTCGTGGAGGTAGAGCACGCTGAGCTGGTCGGCGACGAAGTCTAGACTCCCGAAGAGGAAGGTCTAGAGTGGCACGAAGACGGGAGGAACCCACATCCCAGCAAGTGGGGGCGTGGGAAACTCCAGCGAGCCAAAGCGAATTGTATCGCTTGAGCCCGCCATGACGAAGATGGTGGAAAGGTGGGCCATCCGATGACCAAAAGCGTGAACGCACGACGTCCTCCCCACGGACGGCGCCAACTGTCGGTGTAAAATGTGGCCAACAAGTAAATATTTATTGTTTTGCCGTGCGCTGTGATCGGTTGTGGCCTAGCACGCGATGACACAGGATTTATACTGGTTCAGGCAATGTGCCCTATATCTAGTTTCAGTTGGTCGATGACTTTATTCTTGAGCCCAGGTGCTCGAAGTTTGCTGTGCAGTTACAAACGAGTAAGGAATGAGAAGTTGGTGTTAGAGGCCTGATCGAACTCTGATCCAAGTGGAAGAGAGTGACGGATGCTCAAACGTGCGCTAAGTATTGGAGCGTATACTCTGTGTGTCCAAGCTTATCCGCTGTTGAGCGTGTAAACTGTGTCCTTTTAGGAGAGAGCGCATCCCCTTTTATAGATGAAGGGGATGGCCTTACAAGTCAAAGACGGAAAGGGAGAGAGTGTGTACGGGTGCTACCAAGTCTTGTCACCCACGCCGTCGGGTACGGCATGCCATCGCCCGTCATACTGTTTATGCCGCCATCGCCCACCTTACTGTTCATGACCTGCTGTACCTGACAGGCTACACAGTGTTCGCCTAGGACGACAAACGACGACGCCCACAATATTGTTTGTGCTCTGACGTGTCTGGCAGGCTGTATAGTGTCCGTCTGACATGGCCTGACGGCACCGTCCTGCTGGTGCGCAGGGCATGGTAGGGTATGGTCCTCGGTATTACGGTTGACTTGAGCGTCTTACCTTATCTGCTCCGCTTACTCCCCAGGCCCACACTGAGCAGGCGTCCTGGTCGATCGTTCCCAGTCGGCCCCGACTGTGTTGGTCGGGAAAGAGAGGCGAACAAAGGTTTGGTATATCCTCGGTCGGAGGAACGGGGTCAGAGTCGGACTACGGTCCCACCACAGCCAGGCCTTCCAGTCGGGGCTTCGACCAGGTCTCTTGGCTGGAGGTGCTAGTCGGGGACCGGATCGTGGTCTCGGCCTGTCATTATGTATCTGGGCTGGCCCAGACGCGTGCTGTCGCTGCGTCTCCTGCTAGGCCAAAAATTGCAGGGAAGCGGGTCCATTGAGGACCCCGGATTTATGAACCCGACAGTTTGCAATTGATTTTCATGTGTTTTTGCAAGGGTTTCAGATGCATGTTTTGAATGTTTCATGTGTTTCATATGTATGTTGCAAGTGTTTCATCTGGTTGTTTTAAAAGTAGATCGAGGGTGTTGTGCATGTTGTAATGTGAGCCACCTACATCAGCTGCTGGGGCATCGTGCATAGAGGGGAGCGGCGCAACAGGCGTGGAGGGGCGCAGGAAGTAGGGAAGCGTGGGGGGAGCAGTGTGTGCAGGCCCCGCCTATGCATGCAGCAGGCGCTAACATGAGCGTTGCAGCAGGCGCAAGCGTCCGGACACAAGGGGTCCATCCGGACGTTCGGGCGCTAGTGCTGCTGAAAAATTTAAGTCATGTAACTACGTTTCCCCTCTCCCCTACTCTTTGTAGCCTCACAAATACGTAGTCTCTTTGTTCCATAAAAAGTGTTATTCTTATTTTCCAAGAATTAAATATTTGTAACTTTGACCAAATACATATAAAAAATATTAATATTTATGGTGTATAATTAGTATTGTCAAAAAAAGATAAAAAAATAGTATTACCATATGTTAACATAGAAAACCGTATGAGCATGGTGACATGAATAAATGGAAAAGCATAGCTGCTGAGCTCTTTGTAAAGAGCTAGCTAGTTGCTTTTTACTGTCTCTTTTTTTTCTTACCTATCTCCAACAGGTGACGCACAACCATACCTAAACCTCAAATGTGTGTTGCATGTTACTTTAGCGTAAAAAAACAGTCTCCAACAGTGTAGGCATACGAATGAGGCATTTTGCGTGAGAGGCTAGACGCAACCCAAATATATGCCTACTCGCAGCCCTAGCCAAAGCTGCATGGTGTGCCTAGCTCCGCCCCCACACCGCTCAAACTGTTGCTGCCTGGTCGCGCGTGCATGCATAGGGATCTTCTTTTGCGTCCCCTTTTGGAAAACACCAAAACAGGTAGGTGACCTTTTTGCTACAGCGCCACACATTTTATCTAATTGGTCTCCTATTTAGGTCATATTGGTTGGAGATAGTCTAAATAGAATGTGCTATGAGCAAGCTATTTGTATTATCGTTGACGACCCTTGCTCACATTTTCACCTTACAAAATTTTTATAGTAGCTAGCACATTCTTTAGCATTAACTTATTTGGTATACTCTTATTAATTCTTAATTACTAACTACTCCTAAGCTGGTATGCTTGGAGAAGTGTACAACTACCAAAGCACGCCTTTCAAAAAAAAACTACCAAAGCACCACCCGCTAGGTTAGTGTATCCGATTGCCCTAATAACACAAATTCTGCCCGCTAGATTTACGGCCTGTTTGGATAAGTTATGATTAATTATTAGTTGAGAATAAAAATAACTTAAATTAGTTGTTGTTAATTATTTACTTGGGTAATATCTCGGCCTGTTTGGATAAGTTATGATTAATTATTAGTTGTTAATTATTTACTTGGGTAATATCTAGTTAGAGGCTTAGATCAGTGGCAGACCCAAGATTTGAAGCGAGGGTAGTCCTAATAAAAAAATCAACACAACACAATAAAATCATATCTAAAAAAATCACTATACATGAGTATAAATTAACCAAATTGCGATAATACATTAAAAAGGTTTAAAATTTACACAAATAGGTCCAAAACTTACATAAGAGACTACAATACTAACCTTAGATAAAAGATTAGGTCACTTATTAGCCTCTGGTTGGATAGGTTAGAGCTAAAAACTAGCTAGCTCATAAAAATGGACACAGTAGAAGGTATCGACAAAACTGATTTTAACTTTTCAACACTGACACGCACAGCGTACGTCGAAGTACAAGAGGGTACGTATAATGTGATAAAATAGTGGGCCATCTAAGACTTCAAGTCACAAGCAAAACTACTGATAATACATCATGACTGATCTTTCTAGCACCTTTTCCGCTTCATCTTTCTTTCCCTAGTGGAGGCTTTTACTTGCTACGTTTGTTTAATTTCTGAGCTTTTTGTTCTGAAAGAAGTGAAAATTAGGTAAAGCAATGGATAAGAAATATTTGGTTTGCGTAATAAGCGTGCTCAAAGCTTATTTTCATTGGAATTCATCCAAAAGGGAACATTTTAAAGGCAAAATGAAGTTGACTATAACATGCCGTAATAACCAAAGTGCTCTGAAATTAACTTTCGTTCCATTAAAGTGAAATTAACTCAATTAATTTCGTAGTTGTAAGCTTTTGCATTTCGTTTGGCACTAAACGAAGTAAGATGGATGTTACATGGACATTGGGCCCATATACATCCCTGCAGTTCTGAAACTTCAAGGCAATTCATTCACCATTTCGCATGGCCACCCGGCATGCTCGTGTGCATACAAGTATACAACATCAGGTACGGCAACGTGCTTCACCCTGGAATTTTTCTCTCATCTCCGTACTCTACATTCCAATGAACAAAACTTTTGAACTCTGGAATAAAAAAATTTCCTGACAGAAACGCGTCTGGCCATTGACTTGTCAGATTGACCCGCGTCGTACCTACCTTCACCATGGCCGCGACGCGTCCAAGAAGCGCGTTTCCTCCCCGCCAGTTAGCATATAGATACTCACGATTCATCCGTCTCTCCCAGTCGTTCTGCTGCTCTGCATCCTCCGGCTGTTCCCTTCCAGGTCAGTTTTCTTGTCCCCACTGTTCTTCACATGAATTTTGCAAGGCCTTGTGCTTGTTTTCGCTTGCCATCGCAGCGCACTGTTATCCTTAATTCATCGCATCTGTAATAGCATTTGTATGTTCCCGCGCATTTGAAAGCGTGTTCCATTAGACCTGCATTTGAACAAAAACTTAGTACTGAATCATTTGTCATATCTAATTCGTGGGGAAGAAATAAATCCGAAAGCCCCTACAGCAACTGTGCTGACGCCTGATAGATGCATTATGAACAGTAAACCTTGATTACGAACACTGAAATGAAAGTGTCAACATATTCTGGATCAGTCTGAATCTTTCGGAGATAGAACCATTCCTGGTTGATTTGGGGATGACCAGGTGCATACACCCCCATCTGTTAAAACTTTTCAAACTAGCAAAAAACTGCTACCTTAGATTAATTCCAGTTGAGGGTATGCCAATGAAAGCTTAGGATGTAGTAGTTCAAATCTGAACCAAATACTATATACATCACTGCAACAAAACATCACACATCCAAACACCAGGTTGTTTTCTAACGTTTTCTTTCTAATTTTTTAGCTTATTCTTTCTTGCATAAGTTGTTTTAAGTACTGTGTCATATTTCCATGAATTAGATGTTCTAACATCCATACCTTGTGCTGTATCTTGTTGTCACTCAGATCACAACTTTCTAAACCGTCAGAGATGACTACTAACACCAGGTCTAGTCTTCTAAGCACATTGCCCAAGGATATACCAGCAAGCTTTCTGAAGCAAATCACAGATGATTTCTCTCCTGCGCGAGAACTTGGTAAAGGTGCATTTGGAACAGTCTACAAGGTATGATCATATATACGCCTGAAATTTGTTCCTGCCTTCTGAAGCTGCCATCTGAAGTTGACTGAACACATGTCAGCATGCCCATATACATAATACATGATATGATACTTGACATAGGGAATTGCGGAGAATGGGGAAATGATTGCTGTGAAGAAACTTGGGGAAAACTCTCCTGTGGCAAATGAGAAAACATTTAGTAATGAGGTCTGTAATCTTATGGCAGCCCAACATGAAAATATAGTGAAGTTGGTGGGCTACTGTCATGAATCACAGAAGAAGGTGGTGCAACACAATGGAAGATATATCATTGTAGATATAGCTGAAGTTTTTCTCTGCTATGAATATCTACCTATGGGAAGCCTTGACAAGTATCTATTTGGTATGTATATATGTACTACAATATTTGATAGCATTCGCCACTATTTAATTCCTTTAGTGTTTGCATCCTATTTTCAGTTGCTACTTTGAGATAAATGAGTAATTAAAATTCATATTATAAACCAAAAATTTCAAAATGAGTTATTAGTACAATAAGATTTTTGTTTCTGGTAAAGATTACTTACATATCTCTATGTTCTACTTCTACAGGTGAATCTAATAGAATCGACTGGGACACACGGTTTAGAATAGTTCAAGGAATCTGCAATGGTTTACATTTCCTACATAAGGAAATGGATCAGCCTGTCGTTCACATGGATCTTAAGCCTGAAAATATTTTGTTGGGTGATAATATGGTCCCCAAAATTGCTGATTTTGGACTTTCAAGACTCTTTGGTCAAGAGCAAACCCGAATGAACACTCAAAATGTTGTGGGATCAGTGTAAGTAAAAAACTGTAAAATGACTATTTCCGTTATTACTAGATTCCATTTTTTTAAATTCACACTAAATAAGTTTTAATGAACTCTATTCAGAGGATATATGGCTCCAGAATATCTATATAGAGGTGAAATCTCAACCCAGTCAGACATATATAGTTTGGGTCTACTAATAATTCAGATAAGCACCGGAGAAAAGAATATTCCTAACGCTGAAGACAAGTGTGGACGAAAATTTATTGAGAAAGTAAGATCATGTTATTTGGTATTTTCATGATTCGAATTTTTTCAAATAGACTAGATTAGATTTAGTTTGCATATATGATATAACAGGAGGAACATCGAAACCTGTAGGTACAAAAACGTTGGACGGATGGCCACATATCATCCAAGTACACATCATTTGATCCAGATCGCCTCCAGCAAATTAAAATGTGTGTTGAAATTGGGTTACAATGTGTGGAACATGAACGCAAGATGAGACCATCCATAGCGGATATTGTTGAAAAGCTCAATGCAATGCAGGAATGAGGTATGAACACTGGAACAGTGAATCCCTTTGATCAGTTTCTTGTACAAATGCTACCCACTTTTGGCAAACCTAAGGCCAAAATGGTATGCAGTTATGCTCAGGCCCTGTTATTCTGAATAGAACTTGCTGATCAGTTTACTTGTAATAATTGGAAACTTATGGGATGCTTTGTCCTAAGGACATTATAACTTTCAGGTCCAACTACACATGTTACAAAGAGACCATAGTTTGCATTATCAATTGTTTAAGTAATCTAAGTTCCATGTATATGTTTACAAAGGATTGGGGTTTTCCGTTCATTTGTACAGTTAAAAAGTTACAATCAAGATATGTGTATCAGCTACTCCTATTTTTCTTGCCTTCTATTCATAATTTAGACTATGTTTTCTGCTCCAAAAAGCCAACACATACAACATCATATGGTTCATGCTACATTCTGCCAATGCTAACATATCCTATGGAATTTTTAGGCCTCTCAGTCCCAGCGAGTTTCAAACAAATTGTCCTCCAGAGGACGACTGATTGATATCACAAGATGGATAAAGCATGTTTTATTATTCGTAGACAACCCGAAATTCCTTTTGGAATAAAATCCTTTCTTTTATCATATCATTATGGAAACTATTAAATTTTATTCCTTCCATCAACACCAGAACTGCTGCTCCAAATAACTTTTCATTGTAATTATTATGCAAAGAAGTATTTAAATTAATGAAAGGTACCCAACAATTCCTTCAAAATTCCTATTGAATGGGCATGGGCTACGCCAAATGAATTTTGGAGGAATCTAAACATGAAGTCAGACCTAATGGTTTTCTTCATATATGTGTGCTGTGTTATCCATATTTTTAATGTGTTGCCTCGAAACATTACTATTCATACTTACACGTGATCTGCGCCTTATAGAGAACCAAGTGTATCATGGGTAGTTAGCAGAGTCGATGGTTCATACTTGAGCTTATTCTTCTATAAACAGAAACGGATGCTCAAGAATCCAACTCACTATACAGACACAAATACTTTCTAGTTCATTTTAGAGAATTAATTATAGCTCTCCTTTATCTATATCCATTACTAGGTTTGAACCCATTACACTGCACACATCTGTTTACCTAGATTATAACATGCACATGCTATACCAGTATATGGAAAAACTTAAGATTCTCAGTATGATGTTTACCAAGGATCTCTGTGCAATAAAATTGAAACACCCATTGTGATTTTGTGGCCATCTCAATTCATCAGGATCAAAATATAAGATGAGTCATGAGACATGGGTAGATGTTGCGGTGTATAACCAAAATAGTTTAAATCAGAATTTAGCAAACAAGAGAAACAATACACCTTTTTATGCCAAGATTTTTTTTCCCAAAAAAAAACCATCCTACCAATGACTTTCATCTCAAACGAAAGAAAAGAGGACCGAATATAATAACAAGGAGGTAAAAAATGCCCACCATTGAACAACCAGATAACCAAACGATGAAACGAGCTTTGCAAGTTGCATTCCTTGTGGCATGGCGATTAGTGAATCGCAATTCGCAATCAGTCATCAGACCTTGAGCAGGATACATCTGAGGACTGCGAAGCCAAGATACGGCAGAAAAGAAGGTTAGAGGCTTAGAGCCATGTATTTTTTGTTCGGCACTGCAGTGCAGCAATTCGTCAAGCAGGACGTGTGCTCGGGGACCAACCTCTGACGCGAGGCCGAAGTTCTTGAGGTCCGGAGGTGGCGGATGGAGCGGAGTACGAGTCCGTCCAATGCGTCGGACAGTAGAGATGTAAAGAGACCGAGGTATCCGGGAGGTCGCCGCGGCTGGTCCCTGCCGGCGTGCTCAGGAATGCGGGGCCGTCGGGCCGACGCATGTAGGAAAAATTCCATTTCAGTAGAAAGATGATTAATCCATCCAATCCCACCAGGAACACAGGATTGTAGAGAAAACCATTAACGAATCACCTACCTGGCTGTGAACTGGTGGTGCTGCTGCAAAGAGCAGAGAACTCATGCAATGGCTGCTCCTCCCCCGACCAAACGCTCTGACCTGGTGCTCCGAAGCTCTGCACTGCGCGCGCGGTGCAGCGCAGCTTGGAAGAGCAACCTACTGCTCCCTCTGTGCAATAAAAAGACAATTCTCACTCCTCGCTAGTCAAACAATTCTAGTTTAATTAAATTAATATATAAAAGATATTAATTCTATAAACTCAAAAAAATAGTATTAGATTAATTAAACACTATATTTTTAGAATAAATCCATTTGAAAAATAAATATTTATATTATTTTTCTTTAAATGGCTAAATTTAAATTTTTTTGTCTTATCCAAATCTAGAATTATCACCACATAAAGTTTCTTTAGAGATGACTGAATGATTTTTAAAGACGGCGGCTCTGCTCGCCTCTATGGCTATGCCTGTGTCTCTCTATACGTCAATGATTTCTAAATGTTTGAACTCTGCAAGCTCTATAAATCAATTTTCTATTGGCGGGCTTAAATATAGCTGGCTCTGTAAGTCAGTTTACAATTTTATAAATTATTAGGCCAAAAAAATGGCAAGAAAAATAACCATGAGAAAAGCTCACCAGGCAACTCCTACGGTCGTATCGTCGCATGTCACAAGTCACATAATTTTACATGTGAAATACACACACGTTCCTTACAACTCGTACCCCAAAGTTACTTGTACATGTGCCTAATATAATCCTTTTGTATTTAGTTAAACAAGTATTGCAATGAATATTTGAGACCTACAACGATGGCCGGAGGGTTGTCATTGTTATGGACGTTTGTTACACTATAACACAACATACCTTTACCGACACTTTTTATAGTGGATAAAGGGTACCTTTCCCAACAGATAACCTCTCGTGAAAGGTTTTGCCGACAGTTTAGAAACAGTCGCGCTAGAAACAATTGGCGAAACTTTCGTCGACAGTTAAAGGAATCGTCGACACTTTTTGTGTTGCCAAATGGTGGACCTATGCCGACAGTTGAAACCTTTGCCGACAGTTAAGACATACACCGATAGTTTGAACCTTTTCCGACAGTTTGTGTGTTGGTGAAACCATTTTCAAGGTATTTTGTGAATCATGCCCTGTCCAACAACTAAACTATCGGCAAAACTGTCTTGCAGATATAGATATAAATACAATTTGAATAATTTAACAAATCCACTGTTATTCATATAGAAGGCATCACATTGAATAGATTCACTTGATTTCACAGAAATAATATATCAGATCTTCCATACATACACCATCTAGATATTATATATATATATATATAGTAGCTCAAGTGATGATGATCATAGTACATAGATCAGTCTTCCATACATATACAGGTCCAAGATATAGATTAGTCACTAGGAGACATATACTACAGTCTTGTACTAACTGGTTATGAATAAAGCTAAGAGCTCAATAGATCATGACTTGGGGCCTATTTAGTTCCCTCCCAAAATGCCAAATTTTTCAAGATTCCCCGTCACATCGAATACGAAAACGCATGCATGAAGCATTAAATATAAATAAAAAATAAAACTAATTACACAGTTTAGACGAAATCCACGAGACGAATCTTTTAAGCCTAATTAGACTATGATTGGACACTAATTGCCACATAACAACGAAAACGCTACAGTGTCGTTTTGCCAAAAATTTTAGCAACCAAACTGGCCCTTGGGCATAAAAGTGGCATTCAATGCTTCCATGTCTTTGGCCTACACGATAGTAGGTGCAAACAAAAGAAAAGAACTAAAATTCATGTCTTCCTGCAACAATTCTCGGACGCTTGTTGCCACTCCAAAATACTTGAACACCAACTTGGTGCACATATGGTTGCTGCCACTCTAGAGAACATGTAATAACTCTTTGATCGAACCTCAAAAGGTTGTCAATACAAAATACTTGCAACACCACATAGCTTAAGTACCTAATATAAAAAAGAAAAGGTGAAATATCAATGAAATGTGCTCTGTATCATTAACTCTTGCTTTGTTATTGGGTGCAAATAGTGAAAAAAATACTACTGTACAGTGGGCAGCTATGCTATCAACTATTTGGTGACATAGGCCCATTATATAATTCCATTCAATTTAGTTAGCAAGGACATGCCAACTACAAAGCAGCGAGCTATTGATGGATGAATTGAAAAGCATGGTTGCTGCTTGCCTCCACTAGCAGCAATGCATACGGAGGTACCTAGTAGGTTAATTTTTGTCATGTATAATTCTTTTTAGTTCCTTGAGGAGAGCGGACTGAATTTAAAGCTAGGTACCAGCAGCTTAATAATGGTATATATAATTTTCATCTTGGATTCAACAAGGTCAACATTATTAATAAGAATTCAATGGAGTAACAGCAGCTGCAACAACCTGATACTATCTCTATATTAAGTAGTTATAGATTGAGTGTCTACTAAACTTACTGAATCAGCACCTCAATGTATATAGTAGATCAAGAGGAACAAAAATACATATGGCAGACCAAAGGAGTACACATAATTAAATTAATCATATATTATAGTCAAATTTTAAATTCATATAGCTGCCAGCCAACCAAACCTTCCAGAAATTCTTCAACTTATATATTATAGTCAAATTTTAAATTCATATAGCTACCAGCCAACACAGCATCATTGCTTTCCCACAATGCAAACACTTTGGATCACATATATAAATCAAAATGTTCAAGTAAAATACCTTCAAGCTATGATGGCCTTCCTGTGCCACCATCTTTTGAGTGCTGCGGTGACTTCTTGTCATCCCTCATCTAGTAGAAAACAAATATATTACTAATCAGCAAAATATAATGATCATTTTTTCAAGAATATAGAGAGGTTAGACCATTACTCTGTCATGTGGCCATGCAATGCATCTCCCCTACTTCTACGATGGCCCATGTAGACACACTTGCCTCCCTTTTTCAATTGGAAAGAACATGTATCTAAGTGGAATTCAGGACAAGCAACTTTGCCAGAAGTGACGCATGCCACCAAATAACCT